TGCCCATAAAACTCTGGAAGACGAATAGGTTAAAAGTCATATAATCGGAAAGTTTACACTCCCTAGCTCTTTTTCTCACTCCATGCTCAACTTTCTATTGCCTTTAATCTTGACATCACGATATCATGATATACCATCAGCATACCCATCTCAACGAACCATGAGTAACAGTTTCCCGAGTTACATGCGAAACTTCCAAATCTGGACTGTTTACATACTACCTAGGTAGGTAAATATAAGTCACTGATAGACTTTGATCATCGAATCTAGGTTCTATTGGGGTTGATCATGACCATCTAGTCTGTGAGAAAGAACAGATCTGGTATGATTCTGCGACGGCAATGTCGTGATAAACCTTGGTATCTGCCAATCTTTACTAACATGTACTGTATTCTTCTCGGCAAATCACCATCATCTAGTCTGTGAGAAATACTAGATTTAGTATAACTTCGGCGACGACAGTGTCATGATAAATCTAGGGATCTGCCAACTTGTACTAACATTTACTCCGTCCTTTTCGGCAGATCTTAGTGATGAAAAAGTATAAGTCGCTGCTCGTCACCATTTTAGGTCATACTCATATGCAAAAACCATGGTCTTCACTTCCCATAACCTATTTAGTGGCCCTCAATGTTGTCCAGCCGTCGGCGCTTTCAACCTTGCTGCATCATTTATTTGGATCTACCTAATCACAATCCAATTTTCATAGAACCAATCGCTTCTTTATACCCTGTGCATTTTCATTCATACTTCCTCGAACAAGAAATCCTAAATCTGGTCCAAAAAATACTTCCAGTGACGACGATGATGATCCAACCTTCCTACAAAGGTAGAAGTGACGTTATTTTCAAGAAAAATATTAGTAATCTATGTAGTATTTGTAACTCTAGCGCATACAAACTATCAAATCAAGTAACACGCCAAGTCAAACATAGTGCAATCTGTAACAAGTTCCTTGGTCGTCAATCTGTCAATTGTTAGTCTGGAACCTAACTTAAGCTTTTGAAGCAAACGCCGATCCGCTATATTTAGTACTGCAAGCCGCTAAAGAACTTTAGATAATCACAATGAAAATGGAATAGCTTCGATTGAGAGGAGATAAGTGTAGTGGATCTACGAGGACTAATTACGCGAAAAATGCCCCCTTTGGTTTGCAGCTTGACCAGTCCTAAATGGGCAACACAAGAGGCCACGATGCTTTTTAAAGCCTGCAAACTTTAATCTCTGGCACTTTAGGATTTTCCTGGCCTGGATCCAGGTCTAAAACAGAAGATTTAACGCTTTTTGACAAAATCGCTGATCCCAGTCCTGTGAATAAATTTCGGCCTTTCGAAATCTTTCCGAAAAGGTCAAACTCAAAGATCGCTTGCGTTGAAAGAATTATTCTTGTAGGCGTGGAAGGGGTGTCGAATTATGAATAATATGGATCTGGATTATATATCAATCCACTAAAGTCGCACCCTCCATATTTATCCCTAACAACGTGGCCGCTAAATGACATACCTAACACTCGGCCAGACTGACTTGAAATACATGAAGTCTCTGCCTATAACATCCTTTCAGTTCTGGTGGCATGAAATTTATCTTGAGATTAAAATGATAGGAAAGTAAGTCTGTTTCGATTGTGGTTGCACGAGAGTATTTTATTTCACCCTCGCTGAAATGAGCGTTATGTTGGGCATGTACTTTTCAATCTGTCGAACGAATTCGATACTCGCTCTCATGTCATACAGCAATGGAGGGATTTCTCATATATATGCTCTATTAATCACTTCAATATTGGCTTAAAACGGCAGGGATAGATCGCTGGTTGTGAACAGTACAACCTTCTTCATCAAAACCTCAAGCTCAAATTCTACGTCACTTCAAATTTCGACATAAATGTAACACACCAATACTCCAATGAATGATAAATATATTCATTGCAAACTAATTACGAGATAGAGATTAGGTATCGATGACAATTTTCAAAGCTCTTCATTTTTCATATCTTCATCCTTGCGTTCATTTGACTTGGAGTTTTCCCTCATCCTCTGGGGATACCCAGAATAGCTTTTTCAGCCTTCTCTCTTTCTCGTCTCTCATGTATTCATCGAAATGAATCGCAAACTGGATCCAAGTTGCCACCTTGATATGCTTCTGGTGCTAAGAACGCACATTTATCGACTTCTTGTGCAAGATATCTGCAGACATGCATATGTAGCAAGATCGCAACTCGTTGGTTTCCCTTCTCCGTGAGGCGCCATTCTTTCCGTGGACTTTCCTCTGTTTATTGTTAGCAGCGGCTTAAAGTAATTGAGTTCACTTAGACAACGGAAGTTGTTCTACCATCGAGGAAAAAGTCTTGATCTTCTGATCGTCCCTCAAAATCAATATCGGTATTAAGCCAGCCTGAAGTATCAAGCCAGAAAATTGACTTGTCCCCCTCGAATTGTAATTGATCCACTACTGAATGCGTCGCTTGTTCAAGTTGTCCGCGGAAAGGTCTCATCACGAATATCGGGATATCAACTGCTCGATGTTGTGGATAATCATATTGTGAAACTTCGGCCACTGTCCCAGAGTACTTGGGATATGCCAATGTTCTGATTGCTCTGATTAACGAAACGTAGGTTTCCTCGAAAAGCACACTTAGTTCCCATGTCGTCATATTGTAATCTTCATTGTGTACTCGGAACGACTCCCAGTCAGCATTGCCGATATTGAGAATCTGAACATGTTAGCTGCTTATATTTGAAGTGGAAATTGAAGCGGTTACCATTACATCCGGGACATAGGATTGGAAGAGCCATGGTTGCGCGTATTGCCCAGAGCCAAGTGGTCCACTGTAAGCATTAGAGGGTCTAACATAAAACCGGACAACCAAAGAACTCAAGAAGACCTGCAGACGTACCTTTGGAAGAAAACGTCTGCCAATCCTGCTGGACTGCCCCTACCACCGATACAGTCTTGTAGTAGGCACATCCCATCCATTCCAACAGTTACATGATCACTACCAAACATCTCACCAGTCAAGTATTCCCACCCCATACTCCTCCTAATATTCCATTTGCGACATTAGATGCTATCCGGTGCTTTCTTCTATCTAGGCCTGTCATAGAACCGGGTAGATCAGTCAAAATCTCCAACATCTTTCGCTGAGAAGGATTTTCGGGTAATCCATCGTCCACAGCATCTATAGATAGTCCTAATTCCTCATTATCTACATCTCTTTCAGAAAATGGTAGATTTGTGGTCGACATTGGATTATGAACTGGAATCAGTTGTCCATTCTCATCTATCCAGACCCCTAGAAATTGAAAGGTCTCTATCATATCCCTGCCGATCATTGGTGCAATGATTCGAATAATGTGAGGTGATTGGGGATCGAGATCTTTCGTTCGTATAGCCACAAGTGATGTTGCGTTTGGAAGTATAACGTATTCTTCGTCATCAACTTGGGCAAGCAGAGAGATAGGCTCCGCGCTTGTATTGTCTAATAATGGTGGAAATCTAGACGCTATTGTTTTGTTTCGAGCATCTGTCCTCTTAGCATGACCTTGTTGATCTTTGTTATGAAGTGATATTAAGATAGTGCTACTTCCGTTGAAAGCAATATCGAGATAAATGCCTGAGAAAAACTCCGTTAGAAAATCACAGATGAATTAGCGAGAGAGTATACCGGGAAATGACCCATCTTTTCTCGTGCCATCCAATGTCGAAGACCAACGACCTACATACTGTTTTATGTTAGAATACGTTCTGTAAATCTATTTGATGACATACACGTATGTAGGGATGGCTGGCGTCAATGAAGCGAAGTCCTTCTAGTGGTGGCTCTGCTGTAGAAATCTTTGTGTCATATTGATAGAAATGTATTCGCTGCTGTTGTTGGCTCAACCAAAACCAGAAACAAATCATTATTAATACGGTGAGCCATATAGCCTTGTAGAGGTGCTCCAAGTTGGCTTTGTAAAATTGGTGAGGTGGTTCCGACTGCTCCTCTTCGTCATAAGCTAGTGGCGGGCGTCTGAAATCCACTCCGTTCCGCCAATTCTCCATTGAAATCTCTGACCATGGTGTCGTATTATTAGTCGGTGGTCGAAGAGGTGTCTCACTTGTTGCAGTTGAAGTCGCGGTTGGAGTTGATAGAGGGGAGATGTAAACCATTATGAGCAAAAAATCGGTCAAAATCGATCAAAACTGAGCAAAAGAGCAAGATTGTAGCAAAGCAAAGGGCAAAGAAATTTACAGTGATCAAAATGTAGAGATTGTGTTCATGCTCAACGATATCATAACGACAGATTTCAGACTATAGCAAAACATCAAAGGTGGCAGGAGCGTTTCCAGAGATTTTCGTGACTTCTTTCCTCAGACTTGCACTTTCCATATTCCGCAATCACGGTCAACCTCAATATTACCAAGCAAACAGAAGTAAGTTCAAGTAATTTAATGTCTGGTTTGATTCCTTATCTTCTGTTTTATTGTTTCGATCGGCGCGAAATACTGGAATTTGCCAGTTATGAGCTACAGTATACTCATTTTAATCGTTTCTCTTCCTACTTTGCAATTCGTAAGCAATGGCAAGAAAATTCGCGAGAAGACTCATTTTGCCGCTTGCAATTCTTTTCTGGGCTGCTATTATCATCTCGAACCTCTCGCCTTCCCGATATAAACACCAAGTTTATAACCACGAGAAACACAATACCCCCTTGCGAATTCCAATATCTCATCCACTGAGAAATTATTCAAAAAATACGATTCAATCATGGGCCTATTCAGGTAGCGGAAATCTAAACGAGCTCCCGACTCCGAAAGTTACTGTCCCGCGTGCTTTATTACAACTCACTGCGCATTGCTCTGACCCGGTTAATAAATTCACGAACCATCTTAGACTTCCTAATCTACTTTACAATATTTCCATGAGACCCAGGCTTGGGTCCCCCGAGTCAAGAACGTTCTGGAACCCAACAATTTTCTCTCTGCCATATTGGGCAAAGAATCAGTATTTGATCGTGAGCATGGTGTACTTAAAGGACCGTGGCTACCGAGTCAATGTTTTGTGTGAAGCAAATATTTGTCACCCAAAAACTGAAAATCGTGGACACCTCCAAGATAGAATCTGCACAGATGATGATATTGAAGCTCTCGGTAGTAATGGAGGGATGAGATGCGAAAATACGCCTATTGAGGTGACTGTTCCTCCAACCCCAGCAGAAAGTTGCCAGGGGAATCAGGAAGGACTGGCCGATATTCCTGGCTTTCATGATCCTAGGATCTTCTATTCCGGAAGAGGGGAGCCTATTCTTATGGTATCTTCTCAGTATGATTCTCTTTCTTTCTTCCAAAATACTCTTTACTAAATGACTTCCAGGTCGCGATATGCTTGCATCGGACTATGGTCTATTGATCTTCGTTCTGTATACCCCGACCTGGAAGAAATCTTCTCATCACCACCCAAGAGATTCGGAGGACCACTCAAATCTTATCCTGTCCTGACCGAGTTGACACGTAATCCACGAGAGACCCGAAGATCATACGAAAAGAACTGGTTATATTTTCACCAACTCCATCCTCATCATACGTTCATTATGAGCTGACTTCTTCACAACGCACCTTTGCAAAACTTATTGGTAATGGCTTCACCACAACTAATCTGACTGACCCAAACGAGATATCTTGTCTTATCGACGCAACGTCAGAGGAAATAGCTCTCAATAGATACATGGCAAATGCTACTTGGCATCAGGCCACACCTGCTTTAAGACTGATTCTTTGTACTCGTTCTAATAACTCTTGTATGTCAGAGACTCCGGATACCGTTTTTATTGCAGCCATTCATCGTAAACATAAAAACGTGTTGGACCTACCAATCCGTTACGAAAGATATTTTGTGATGTGGGCAGCAACACCTCCTTTTAGTATGCTGGCCATGAGTCAACATCCAATTCTATTCGCAAATGAAACCACCACGGGTTGGACGACCGACGAAAGTTGGGATGACGTTCCAGAAGCTTCGTCCGAAGGTCGTGGTTTTTGGGCAAAGCTCACCTATACCACAACTATAGCGTATGCTTGGAACAGGGAAGATGAGGATCTAAGGGATAAAGGCGTGGGGTTTCTGGATGATGAGATAATTGTTAGTGTGGGTGTGGATGATCATGATCAGGTGTATGGAAGGGTTCTTGTCTCTGAGCTGCTACAGTGTTTGAGAATTTGTCCTAGCTTGATGTGAGGGCAATCAATATGGGACTGAGGAGGATAGGGAACAATCGACATTTCTGTGATTGAGATATGAAGAACTAGATAGATTGGAATGTATGTATCTATGGAGAATGGTTGATTCATGCTAGGTGGAGATAGAATGCAAAATTGATTTCAACACACACTAGTTACATTAATTACCATTTTTCTAGTCTAGGATACTTCAAGGACACAGTGATTCTTCTGAAAATGCTTGTGTAGATACAGCACCTGTGATTATTCGTCCTTTTGACAAATAAATTTGGATGGTTGAAAATGGCACTCTCCTTCCGCAGTGTGAAGGTCATCTTGTAGATACCTCCGGTCGAGGTTTTGGCAAATTCGCTAATGATCTACAACTAGCAGACACGTTTGATATCGATAATTTGACCCAAAGCGCACAAAATTATCGGAACTTCCAAAAGAAGAGTGTGGAGAAGATGAGGTCCTTGATGATTTAATGTTGGCTTCGGAAGTTAGTAGATGTTTAAGGCCATTATAAATTAAGAAGAGTATTATCGGGTTGAATGTGATGCGTAAGGTTATAGCCGCGACAAGCTAACCCTTTGCCTGGTCTGGTGTCAAGAAAAGAATTCTTTGCTTTTCTTGGTGAGGGTCAAATGTTGTTAGAATTGTTGAATATTTTGCGTTGGTGCTGGTCCGCCAACTGTTTGAATCTCTTTCATTTTAGTCAAATTTACGAATGATTTTGCGGGAGTGAATTAGATAAACCCACGATATTTACTTTGAGAAGGATCCATGTGTAGCAAGAGGATAGAACGCATTCACACTTCTTCTTTACATTTCAACACTCTCTTCTCCAATTACCATTCAATGGTCTTCTATTAAATGACTCTTAGGAAAAGCTATTCTTCTGCCGTGCAAATGAAGATACTCATAGCGAAATAATGGCATGGATCGACAACCGAACTAGAGCGAGCTTAAATATTACTTCTGTTGTAGCTCGTATCGACCTCCACGTCTTCGTAACAACCAAAGTCTCTTGGTGATGAAGAAATTACTCTTATATCTGTCCAAAGATCACTTTCAAGACGATGGCCTGACCACTGGAAACCTTTCATATTCGTGGTGATGGGGTGGTATGTTTTGGATATTGGTGTGTACGCGTGAGTACCAAATTATTAGTACTAACCAGACAGTTTGAACTTCTGTGATTTCTCCCTGGGTTCAGAATTTCTTTCTAGTAAAAGTAAGCTTGATCGGAGAGTCATTAAAACACTGTCTACTCATAATTTGCCATGACTAACGTCGAAGTACTTTAAAATGATTCATGATTATCTTGAGAGTCACAAATCACGAAAATATGCGACAAATTATTGAGATCCTTCGGACTCAAAAGGACCTATGGTCTCAATTTTTCTTTTCTCTATTTGATATTTGAATACATCAAAAACATAGCAAGGAAACCCGGCTGTCAACAACGAAAAGCTTAACTATCGATGCCTTCTCCAAGCCTCGACAAAGACACTTCCGGTCCCAAGACCCCACAATCAAGTTTAGAAGACGGAGTAGAGCTCATGGTCCGCGGAACATTCAAGGAATATGTGGAACGTACATTTGGTGAAAGATACATTCTCGAGCATCCAGATCTAGTCTCTCTTTTTGAGCCTTCAAATCCCCGTGAATCGTCCATATCTGTTATTTCACCAGCATTAGAGCTACTTGAGCTTGCTTTCGCGTCACTCACGGAGGCCGAAGTTCAATCCACCGACATTAAAAGCGCTCTTCATACGAAATTTTTCTTTGACGAGACTTTTTCGATACCTTCATCACTTGAAAATACATCGGTGAAAGCATTGGTGCTGGTCATAAAAGCTATAAGTAATGATGGCTTGCCTGTTGAAAGGAAAGAACCCAGAGAGTTCATTAATTTTTCTGAGCCCGTTCGTAATCATCTCATTTATAAGTGTAGTTCCCCGAATAACTGCACGGGGAACACACTGGAATGCATCATCGATTCCGAGGGTCCATCGGTTATCCAGAGACCTACCGAAGACTCACCGGACTATCTTCCTCATCATTCAACCACGAGTAGTGATTTCAAAATAGATTTTGTTCATCCTTGCCACGAGTATACTGAGCTCTCCGACCTGCTTCACGGCACCAATCAAACAGATCGACTCAGTCACCACAACGGGGTACTTTTAGTACCAGAAAATCGGACCCCCAATTATTACAAGTATGTCAAGAAATTGATCGAGAACAAAAATCATGGAATTATTGCAACCTATATGGGGTGCTGTAAGCATAATCCTCGTCTTTGGACGAAGATAAATGACGAAACCATGAGCGAAGAGAAACATAAATTTAACTGTCGTGTTTGCAGTCATAGTTGCGCTTTACTGGATGGTAGAATATGTACTCATTGCAGCAAGGAGAAGGTTTTGCAGAAATTGGATTGCAAAAAGGAGTACGGAGTGCCCCTGACGAGCTATATTCGGCACTGTAGTCCACAGGGACCGAGCGAGGATATACTACGCCACTATTATTTGGACAAAGACGAAGACGGGGTGGTTCAAGAATTGGTGAACTACTCGATAAGCGATATAGGTGTGTATTTTTCAAAGGTTTGAAATCCAGTTTACATTAGAAACCGACTGACTGAAGTCACAGTGGCTGACGCCCTTCAAAAGTCAATCTGATTGAAGAATTTGAACAATTGGAGGATACTATATCATAAGAGAAGCGTTTTAGCATATTGGATTAAGATAGCAGTGAGAATCATGCATGGATGAATTAGGTTTTGTGGATGGCCGTTTAGTTTGTTAAGTAGTCGTTGAGTTCTAACAATATCTCTATCACACGCTTTTTTGTTTCGTGATGTATGAAGTTCGTGAACATATCTGGATACCCTTTTACTAATACGAGGCCCTTGTAAATTACTTGATAGAAAACAAGATAGAAATTTAGCACATTGGAAAGAGAATCCCAAGCCAAGTAATGCGGTCGCACAAAATGGTTTCGGGATGTTTTAAGCTCAGTTGAGGGAGACTCATCACACAGTGCCATGGAATAAGTGGAACTATTTGACTCGCAGTAGAATTTCAGTCATCTATTGACTTTAAAACTAAGAAAAACAACGAAATATCAACCAACCCTTCCGAAAGCCCGTCATACCACGATACCCCCCGTCATCCACATTACGGTATCTCCCAACTCAAAGTATTAGACCCCCCTTGAATCATCAAAACGGTAACCAAAAAGAAATGAAACTCAAGGAAACTAAAGAAAGCGAAAGGAAAGACAAAGGAAATAATCTCTGGGTCCAAAATACCCACTAGATCAACCCACCTCATAGAATTCCTATGCTATGTTGTCTCTGATGCTTCGATCTGCAATTATGTGGCGTCGACATGTGTTTAAACAAAGCTACAGTTTTGTTTGTCGACGTATAATCTTGGCGGGCCTGATCGCTGGGGATTGTGGTCTTTTCTGTGGAATCACCGCAGGAGCCGACAAATTTGGCGTCTCGGATTGTGGTGAACTTTCTTGAAATAGTGAAGCCCATCTGCTCGATGGGGAATTTGGCAAGCTTCCGAAGGGCCTATGTAATCTTTCACTAAGAATCCGATCGACTATCTGAACTTGCTGATTTTCTGGAGGCGGGGTCGGGGGTGGAATTGGAGAATCAGGTGGGGGAGTTGGAGGTGGGTTGTAAGCCGGATGTTTTCGATGCTTACGCATTAGAAGCTTTAGTGCTCTTGTCGGAGTTCTTGTACGTGTAGAAGCCGGTCTAATTGATGCGAGCTTTGCGGATCCCGAATATGATGAGTACTTTTTTCCATTGGATTCAAATTCAGTAGGTCTTGCGGTTGAAAGCTGACGTTGAAGACCTACTGCCTGACCGGCAATTCCACTCATATAATAAAGTCTTTTCTCTTCCACTGAATTTGCACCTGCTTTCATACTAGGATCTATTTCAGATGTATTTTCTGCACGGACTATTGGGTTTTGCGGGCTTTGTCCATCCGAGATTATAGATTCGGTTTCCACGAGAGCCATGGGCTGGAATGAGGAGGATAACGGGAGGATATCTGCACTGGTAACTGGTATAGAGGCCGGTGTGTTCGTGACGGATGTAGATGCTGATCCTTGAACTTCAGAACATTTAGACTGATCTGATACAGTCGTTTGGCTGCTCAATTCTGCTATGGCGAAATCGCTGGCGATCTGTGTGCTGTCTGATCCCGAGATTTTGACACCTGCAATTATAAGATTTCGGCTGTTAATGGGGATATAAGTGAGCTTACTAATATATTCTAGATTATCTAGACTGCTGTTGACATTTTTGATGATATCTATCCCCCTAGAGACTTGTGATGGACTTTCCTGTGAAGTTTTTGTTGGTCTCAAAATTGTTTTTGCGGCTTTGATGGCACTGTCTGATGAGATAGGGCTATCTCTAGATATGAGGAGTTGCGGATCTGCCATAGACTTATCCTTCGAGTCAGTTTGTGAATTTGTCTCGTCCTCGATATGCCGTTCCTCGCTTCGAAGATACTGGTTGGCAATAACCTTGGGTAGCGGTATTATACTTGTTATTTTCTGTCCAGTTGGCTCTGGATCTTCACGATCACGATGCCAAAATGAAGGCTCTGGGCCCTCGAGCACGTTGAAGTTTGGGAAACTGCTTTCAGTGCATTGCCACCGGCAATTATAGCCCATGGAGAAAGTAAGTGCGAATCGTTCGCCTCCTATGATTTCAAGTGATACTCGAGAGTTTCTTGTATTGATATCGCCATCATGGGAACGACATCCGTAGCATTTTCCGTGTCCACATTCTGGATTTGAGCATTTTGTTTTTGGTCTGTAGCATGTAGCGCACGATGTATCGCCACAAGTTAATTCCTGATACCTCCAATATCCTGAAATGGCTTTGTTCTCTGCACCGAGAGCATTGCAAAGATAAATTGGCAGGGCTTCAGGAGCTGCTTCGCAGCGACAGCATTTCCAAAGCATGGAGATGTATCGAGCTCGCATCTTGTTTTTGAGTATGGTATCGAGAGTCATTGTAAAGTTTGATAATCGAAATCGATTTTAGTTGTCGTTGTAAAAGTTGTATGCTCTGCTTCAGAACTGCGGGCAGCGAAAACTATATCGACTTTTGGAAGTAAGATCTTTGACTCATTTTCCGAGGAAATTCATATTAATAATCATTTCCTGCTCAATATTCACAAAAATCCTTGTAGTAAATACTTCGAGTAATGATTCGAGACCTGCATGATTCTACATTAGAATACTGAAGCCCAGTCATATGACGCAAAGTTAAAAATGCGTCATAATGTTAATTAAGGTACACTTTCTTGTGTGTTGATGACTATACGCTCCATGTGAACACTCAAAACCCTTGAATCAAGATTTTTAAACTGCAGTCATTCCAGTAAAGACTTTCTCAATGATTCTTCTCTGACTCGTTCTTTGTTATCTGAATGGACGTTATATGATACGTGTGCGTTTATACCCTCATACCAGTCACACGCGATCTATCTTGCACACTAGAACCATCTATTAAATACGATGTGACAGAATGAAATGAAGGTTGTATTCTGGCCTCTATCCTGATCTGGTGCCTGAAATCCATAGTTCAATGTGGAATGAAGAACGATATGAGATCCCGAAGGCCACATCCAGAATTCACTCGCGAAAGTATTTTTGGGTGAACATGAAGTGGATATTGACCCATCTAATTTTACTATCTCTGCACTTGCTAGATTGTTCTTTCACAAGAAGTACGAGTGACCAGAACTCGATCTATTTAGATTCGCAATCGCTTGTACCATTATTGCATTCTCATTTCATACGGCGTTGTTCTGGAACAACGTTGGTGAATCTTTACAGTACGGCCGTTCTGTAATTGTGAATGATATGCCACGATATTGCAGAATTCTAGCTACTTAATCGGTCTTCTTCACTTCTGCTATCCCTCTTTCATCTTACAACACTTTAAACCCAAAATCCAATTCTTCGATAATCTACAACTCTGTTATTGAACCCTGATCATCCAACTCACCCGATACCAACAAGCTCAATCGTCTCAATCAACTTCATCTTCCAGCGAAACAAAAACTGGAAACACTTAACAAGACACTCGCCATGTGCTATCAGAAGCTCAAGACCATTGTTTCCCAAGACCAAATCACCCCAATTCTTGCCGAATATGTCACCATGAGTGACCTAACCAACCTTGGCGAGTTCTGCGGCCCAGCTGTTGATGCAGCAACCATCATGACCTGTTGCAAATGTGGTCAAAACACTTCTCTCATTGCGGGTGCACCAGGAGCCACCTCTTGCAATAGCTGTGGTCACTATGAATGCAACGACTGCGATTTCAATTAGGTCACCACAAGCATTGGTCAATTTTCCGAACCGCTGAACACGACTAGTGTGGGGGTCCGGAAGAAACTTTGGCTATGGACGGTTTGAAAGTTGGCCTTTCGTCTGATCAACTTCGCTCGCAGGCGTAATGGGGAACGAACTTTATAATAAATGATGTGATTTTTTGCGGGAGTTGGATTTTCTTACTGGGTGGAGTTTGGTAGGAAAAGCGCAAGCGGGTGGGTTTTCAGTTGTCATAGGACTTAACAAGTGTGGGAAGGATGTGGTCTCTCCAGTTGCCTAGATCAGTGTAACAATTAGTAAAGGTTTGTTCTGCGAGCACCTAATACTAAGTGATACTAAGCGCATCAAAAGCTCTCTTGATAATGCCGTGTTGCACTGGTGCATTCTCAGAGCAGAAATAAAGTACCACCATAATTACTTTATACTAAAGTTTCTCTCAAAACCTGTCTGACGTGACATAGTAGCAATCGTGAAATGGGTGATATGATATACACTAAGAATTCGCTTACCTAGACGTACCAGTCGTCTGTAACCATTCTGACGAGAATGAAGGGGTAAATTTCGGCAAATTATTGCGGGTACAGAATAACCATCTTTTCAGAATGATTAGCCTGGCATTAACAAGAATTTATATATCGTATCCATTTGAAGCTAAGTGATGCTATTCGAATCGCTTGAGATAAGGGTGAATAGATTCGAAGTAAGGAATAAGAAATGGCTTGGCATCAGTTTGACACTTGAGCTAGAACAATCAGAGGATACATTGGAACATTTACAAAATACAACGTATGTTGCGGCAGAAAGAACTTGTTTCTAAGATACATATCCAGGGGTATAAAGAATCAAAAAATAAAGTAAAAGACAAACGAGCCTTCTCCGGGTGCCTTGGAACACATGACTTTGCTCTTGGTTCATCCGAAAAATGGCATTATTACAGGCAACAAGGATAATAATTTGACTCCCCATCATTGAAAAGATGAGTTCTTGCACCTCCATCGTCGGAGAGCGAGAAAGAACTTCCTCGGTACCTTCCAGTGGAATCACGAGCGTTCGCAACAGAAGATGAGAACGCGCTCCCAGTGATCCCCAAGAAAAAGTGGCTGTTGAGCATAACTCCCATATCAATAGCACCCTGAAAATCAAAACTCAGTTTGTTGATGGTCTTCAAAGTATTGGCATCCTTCTCTGCCAGTTTCCACTTATGTGTGACGTTCCAACCTCGGGATTTCCCGGCCTCCACGAATTTCATCACTTGATTTTGATCTCCGCAAGCCAAATAAACCAAAGGCTTTTCCTTGCTAGG